CGCGCTACGTCTTCGGGCCGCATCCCACGGCGGACGTCTGCCAGGCCGGCCGCGACGCCGGCAGCGCCTTCACCGCCGCCGTGGACCGCTGGCTGACTGCCACGCCGCCGGATCAGGTCCCGAAGCTCACGCAAGCCATCCTGGCCGCCGCCCGCGCCGTGCCCAACGCCCCGGCCGACCTGCCGGTGCGCACGCTGGCCGGCGTCATGCTGGGCTTCCCGCCCACGACCCACGCCAACCTGCTGGCCACGCTCGCCATCTGGGTGCAGACGCGCAAGCTGTGGGAGCTGCAGCCGCTCTGGCACGAGGTGCCCACCGGCGCGAGCCTGCCCGAGCGCTACACCGCCGCCGTCGCCAAGCTGCGCCCGACGCTCGTGGCCACGCTCAACTTCAAACCCACGCCCTACCAGATCTGGCGCCGCTCACGCGCCGACCACCGTCTGGGCGAGGTGGACGTGAAGGCCGGCGACACCCTCATCGTGGCGCTGGGCTCCGCCACCCAGCAGGACCCCCTGCGCCACCACGTCGCCTTCGGCGGCGACCGCGCCGACCCCAAGGGCGCGCCGCCGCACGCCTGTTCGGGCTACGGCATGGGCATGGGCGTCATGCTGGGCGTCGTCGCGGCGGTGCTGGACGCCGGCGTCATGCGCTTCACGGGGGCGCCGACGGTGGTGGCGTTGGCGGTGTGAGGTGATGCGAGTGCTCATGGCGGTGAAGACATGAAGACGCTCTACGAGGCGGCGAACGCCATCGAAGCCCACATGCTGGTGGACTTGCTGAAGCAGGAGGGCATCGAGGCGCACATCCACGGCGAAGCGCTCCAGGGGGCGATGGGCGAGATCCCCATGAGCGGGCTCGTGCGGCTGCTCGTGGTGGAAGAGCGCTACGAAGCCGCACGAACCGTCATCGACGGCTGGGAGCGCACGCAAGTCGAGCCGACACCCCGTCCGGCAAGGTCGGCCCGGTCATCCGGCCTGCGCGGCCTGTTGCTGGGCCTGGCCATCGGGGTGGGTGCCACCTACGCGGCCTACCGAGCGCCTGCCACATCCAATGGCCTCGACTACAACGGCGACGGGGTGCTGGACGAGAAGGTGACCTACTCGCCCAACGGCATGCCGCTCAAGCTGGAGGTCGACCGAAACCTCGATCACAAAGTCGATTACGTGGCGCACTACGACGAGCGGGGGCGTCTCGACTCGGGCGAGGCAGACGACAACTTCGACGGTGTCTTTGAAACCAAGCTGTGGTTCAAGAACGGCAGCGTCGATGTCGCGTTTTCCGACACGGACGGTGATGGCTACCCGGACCTGCGGACGACCTACACCCATGGGGTTGTCGAGACGGTCGAGTACATCAACCCCGCCACCGGCAAACCCGTGAGGGTCGAGCACTATGCGCTGGGCATCCTGAAGTTCGCCGACGTGGACACCGACATGGACGGTGAGCTGGACACGCGCATCAGCTACACGAAGCTGGCTGAGGTCGAGTCCCGAGAGCCGTTGCGGAAGTGAGGGGCGTGCGCGCCAGCGGCCACGGTGCTCAAACCCGCGCCGCGCGCTCGCTGAAGCCCGTCATCCCCATGCGCTCGAACTCGCTGCGCGCGCGGTCCAGCGCGGCCTGCCAGCCGTCGTCCAGCTTCAGTTC